CAACAACTCTTCGCACAAATCGTCACCAAATCTATCGAAAGAGTCTTTACTATAGATTTGTGGCATTTTTACACAAAATAATTAAAACAATGAATATATTAAACACTTATTTATGAGATCTGTTCTCATCTCTGGTCAAAAATCGATTGAGGTTTATGTTTAAAAATCTCTGTATTTATTACAAAATAAAATATTATTATTAAGTGTTTGTCAAATGATTGCTAATATATTGTTTAAATACAACTTTCAATCTAGATTAAAATAATTTAATATAACTTTAACATTTTCATATGATTAAATATGGGTTGTGTAGACACAGGTGTATTTATCACAAAAATATTCAGTAAATAAAAAGATTAAGATTTTATCAAATGATAGATAAATGTATTTTTTAAATGAAACATTATATTAATGATCATATTAATGATCACGTGATTAATTTATTCACTTCTGGATTAATGAGATTAAGTAAAGGTTGGGTAGGAGTTGGATGAGCACAGGTGTTAACATAATCCAGTAATTTTCCAGTAAAATATTCTCCTTTATAAACTGAAAGTTATTTACATATATTTAATGCTACAAAACACGTGTTAAATCCATTTAAATCATACCTCTAATACACAAAATGGTTGGACACGAATCGACCCGTTTTATACAATTATCATCTGAATTGGCAAATGTTTACAAATGCATTTTTTGTCATATGATTTTTAATAACCCGATGACCAACACTGGATGTGTTCACACCTACTGTTTCGAGTGCATAAATCAATGGATTAATTCCGACAACGAGACCAAACACGAGTGCCCTATATGTCGCGCGCCTGTGGCCGATGACCATGGCCTATTGCTGCCAATGCCTAACCTCGAGGTGACCACAATTATTAATAGTTTGCCCATTCATTGCGACAATAGTACCATTGGATGCGAACAAGTGTTAACATTGGACACAATAGCGGAGCATCTCATGGTATGTGTGTTTACACAGTGCCCGACGTGCGGTCCGTTTACTGGACTAACAATCGTTGAGCACAACTGCGCGCAAGCGTTGATAGCATTGGTCACCAAAACGAATGTCAAGTGCCAGACAGTGGCCGCAGAACGCGATTCGTGGCGATTGAAGGCTGAAAAGTTGGACACACGGGTGGGACCGATACGGGCGGCGGCAACAGAGGTGGGCAACGCGGCCGTAGAAGTGACGGCCAATCGTAGCCAGTGGTTGGGCGAAGAAAACATTCTTATCGATAACTTCAGCACAAGACTGGGCGCCGTTGAGTTGACTGATGTGGCCATGGAGTTGGGTTGGGTTCGGCCGCGCACTGGACCTCTTGTCCAAATAAGTTTGCGTTTCTCTGCATTTCAAAAGCTAATCCAACGCATCCATTATCTCGTCGACCGGCGCCGACACTCACTTACTATTGAAACGTTGGCCGCTATGCAGGGCTTTGATGCGTTAAACCCGGCGAATGAGACCGAGTGTCGGCAACTGGTGACCGATGCGGCTGTTCGGGCGCCCGTTGGCGGCATATTTTGTTTGCCTCCAACTCCGGAGTCTAAAACCTCGGCCACTGTCCGCCACTTGGACTCCATGTCCCCCGAATTGTGTCCACAATTGCGGTATTTTGTGGCCTTTTTGACAGCCGACAGAGAAATCAGTTCCGAGAGAGTCTGCGAACGGAGACGTGCGGACAGTTTGCCCGCTCTGGCCATTCAGTGGTCGGCGGCCGACGATCCCAAACAGATCCGCTCGTGTTTGGAGGTATTAAACCACTTCTTGCGCGTCACCGATGAGACAGTACTCAGCGTTGCGCTCAAACCTCCGGAGCCAATGGGAACCGCCCCCTCCGCCGATGGCCAGACATTGGCCGCTACGGCACCGGCCGGTGATGATAGGGATGTGGTGTCGGTTATCGCCGATATTTTAGGTATTTTTGTGGTTTTATTGCATGTATTGAAGATGTTTTGACCACTTTTTTTGTGGTACAGGTGTTAAGGATGTGTCCAAAATGAACGCCTCGTCTAAACTGCCGGATCTGGGAATGGATTCACTAATGGTTGTGACCGTCAAACAGGCTCTGGAGGACCGGTTCTCAGTGTC